TCAGATTAGATTTTTTTTCCAAGATGAAACAGCCTCATTTGAAAAAATCATTCATTTAAAAGAAAAACGAACGGTATGCACGATAATTTGTTATTCTCACGTCAAATCGTCGACTCATCATCTCATTTACCATCTTTCATTCAATCTCAGCGACAACTATTACTTCCTTCATTTTATTTAAACATATTATATTTAAAATAAGTGCATTTTGTCGAAAGTTCGCCTTTGAATGTAAAATGATTTTTACTAAAATTCTTTTTAATTACTTTAAATATAATATGTTTCATTAAAAACGTTAAAAAAGCAAAAGATATCAATACGTTTTATTTAAAAATCAATATCCATTTGAATAGTCATTTACAGATAGTATAAATTTGATTGAGTGTATTTTAATTTTGAACATGATTGTTTTGAAGTATATTCTAATCAACTAATTAAACCGTCACTGAGTAATATTTTAGGCAAGATAAGTTATGTTAAAACAGCATCATTGAAAGATGAACTGAACATTTCAAGTATTGTTAAGTGAATAGTAAAAGAATTAAGCTATACATATATAGTTATTTTTATTTCAAGTGCATAAACAAGAAGAAATTTTATCCTATATTAAACGAGAAGCATTATCGATATCGGACGGCAGTTTGGAAGCAATGAATAATAATTCTGTTTTAGGTAATAAATAAACAACTTCACCATACATGAATGGCGAAAAATTAGTAGGAAGGATAATCTATAATAACATCAATGATCCAAATAATGGCCATGAATTTATTTAGAAGAAAAACGAAAAGAAATAAAAGTTTATGAAGAATATTTTTTTGTACATATGTTGTAGATGCCAAGAAAGCTTATGTTCCTGTTTTATTCAATGCTTTAATTGATTGAATAGGAAAGGAGTATGTGTGAACTTTCAACACTGAGGCTGTAGGCAGGAAGTGAAAATTTTCCAAGAAAAAAGATTTTACGAAATAAAAAAAAATTCTTTTGTTTAACCTTTTGACTCCCATTGTCCTATATATAGGACGGCGGTCTTTGCTTTGCTTATCGGCCGGTGTCCTATTAAAATGATGTCTTGAAAATTTCAGATTTTGCGCTCACGCACCTCTCTATAGTTAGTATTTCGTCTGCCACGTGTCACTGTCATAATCTGAAATTCTCAAGGCATCATTTTAATAGGACATCAGTAAGCAAAACAAAGACCGTCGTCCTACATATAGGACACCGGTAGCCAAAAGGTTAATAATGCTGCGTATAAAAATATCTGAATACGTCACGGCAAAGGTGCAGAATAGAGAACGATAATGACTCATCCATTTTGTCAACGTGGTATTGCCTGTTTTATTATGAGAAGTCTTATTTACTGGATAGAATATAATGCAAAATCAGTAACGAAATATTCTTCATCATATTACTATGTTCTGACAGAATCTTTTTGCGTTAAGTGAAGTCATTATCGTTTGATCTGTTTATTTTAGATAAAACGTGTGTTCTTGTTTCATCTGAGCAAAAACATAAAAAACAAAATGACTTCTAATTTTGATAAATTACCAAAAGTTCGAGATGTTGAACGTGAATCAATATATGGTTATGTTTATGGTGTGTCAGGTCCAGGTACGACAAATTAATCCTTTTTTAATGATGATAAAAAGTAATGTATTTCTTTTACAGTCGTTACAGGAAATAAAATGGCTGGTTCAGCTATCAATGAACTTGTTCGAGTTGGTCATCAAGAATTAGTGGGAGAAATCATTCGTCTTGAAGGAGATTTAGCAACAATTCAAGTTTATGAGGAAACATGTGAGTGTTCGATAGTTACTGTAAAAAATTAGAATAAATATTTTGTTTTTTAGCTGGTGTCACTGTTGGAGATCCTATATTACGTACAGGAAAACCGTTGAGTGTTGAATTAGCACCTGGTATTATGAGCAGTATTTTTGATGGTAATAGAGAAAGAGAAATATGAGTATTTGCTAATTATTAATGATAATTGTTATTTTACATCTAATAGGTATACAGCGACCTTTAGAACTTATTTATAATACCACAAATAGTATTTATATTCCAAGAGGTATTAATGTGCCGGCACTAAGTCGCACATTGAGTTGGAATTTTATCCCGGAGCCACGTCTCAAGGTAAAAACTTTTTCGTTTTGTTTGTACATATACTTCCATTGTTTTGACTTAGGTTAATGGACATGTAACTGGAGGAGATATATTTGGAACAGTACCCGAGAATACATTAATCAAACACAAAATTATGTTACATCCAAAAGCAAAAGGAACAATTCGATTTTTGGCAGAAGCTGGCAATTACACACTTGATGTACGACGTTTTACTGAAAAGGGTTATTTTAATAATCTTTGATGTTTCTTGCAGGATGTTCTCATGGAGACGGATTTTGATGGTGAAATTACTAAACATACAATGTTACAGGTGTGGCCTGTAAGACAACTGAGACCAACAGCGGAAAAACTAGCTGCAAATTTTCCACTATTAACTGGTCAACGTGTGTTAGATTCATTATTTCCGTATGTAATTTGGTCTCATGTAAAAGATATTATATGTTTTTTTTTAATCGTTTTGATGCAGATGTGTACAAGGTGGTACTACAGCAATTCCTGGAGCATTTGGATGTGGAAAAACTGTCATATCGCAGTCATTATCAAAGTTTTCAAATAGTGACGCCATTGTTTATGTTGGATGCGGTGAGCGCGGCAATGAAATGTCTGAAGTATTACGAGATTTTCCAGCGGTAAGAAAATTCTTCTTTTTCAAAAAAACACACTGATTTGCCTTGAATTTGCTGTTTGGTAGCTATTTTTATTTTTCGACCATCACGTTTATTCTTCTTATTAGTATAAGATCGGTGGAGGCCAAGTTCGATAAATAACACTATTATCTCAGATTCACCCGTCTCTTTTTGTAATACTAGCTAAAAATGGAAGTTGATGGTCAAGAAGTATCGATAATGAAACGTACAACACTTGTAGCAAATACATCAAACATGCCTGTGGCTGCACGAGAAGCGTCAATCTATACCGGTTCGTATTTCTTGCAATGTTGATTTCAAAACACTTATATTTGATCTTGTTCTCATATGTTTTCTAGGTATTACGCTAGCAGAATATTTTCGTGATATGGGTTATAATGTTGCAATGATGGCTGATTCAACATCACGTTGGGCTGAAGCTCTAAGAGAAATATCAGGACGTTTAGCAGAAATGCCAGCTGGTTTGTATATAATCTTTTGATTTGTACTTTCGTTTGATTCATGAGACGTTTTCTTTCGTTTCATGTAGATTCTGGGTATCCAGCTTATTTGGGTGCACGTTTAGCATCATTTTATGAACGTGCTGGTCGTGTCCGATGTTTGGGAAATCCAGCTCGTGAAGGTTCAGTCAGTATTGTTGGAGCGTAAGTTATATACGAAATTCTTAGAATACATAAAGATATTAGATCCAATATTTTCTTTCTTTTAGTGTTTCTCCTCCTGGTGGTGATTTTGCTGATCCTGTCACGTCTGCTACATTGAGTATCGTCCAAGTATTTTGGGGTTTAGATAAAAAATTAGCTCAACGTAAACATTTTCCATCTGTCAATTGGCTCATTAGTTACAGTAAATACACACGAGCATTAGATGATTATTATGATAAAAATTTTCCAGAATTTGTCCCATTACGTGCTAAAGTATGTTTTTCTGTAAAAGTATTACGTTGTCGTTTTATTGACGATATTTTTCCATTTCGTTAGTGTAAAGAAATTTTACAAGAAGAAGAAGACCTGAGCGATATTGTACAGCTTGTTGGAAAAGTGAGTTGACTAACTTTTTTAATCACGTGCGTTTTAATCAAGTTTTTTTTGTCCATTAGGCATCATTAGCAGAAACGGACAAGATAACATTAGAAGTAGCACGCATGATTAAAGATGATTTTCTGCAACAAAATGGTTATTCTTCGTATGACAAGTACGTATAAGCTTTTCGAGTTAAAATTTGCGTATTTCCACCGATATAATGATCTCACCCTTCGTATGATGTTGTTTTGCGATCTTTAATCCTTCAGATCTTGAACTTTTCAGCTTTTATTTCGCAAAAGATTTATAACTCAACAGAAATTGATTCCTTAGCCTCAAAAACCTATCTACATAAGTAGGTCGATGTCCCTATAATCTGACAGCATCAGAATGATGGTTTTTAGAAATCCGATTTCTGTAGGCTCATCCAAGATAGGCTTATGAGAACAAACGAATCAGATTTGTGATGAAGTATATTTTAAGAAAGAAAACAAAAATCACTTAGTGGAATTTCCTGATGAATTCAAAGGTCATCTTTGAAAGCCTCGAATAAAATGCTTGGACTATTGGATATATGAAAGTAACCGTGGTTTTGCAAAGCGCTCTGAAGAAGTGTTTTTTATACAGTTTTGTATCCTGAACATTTCTCTGCAAAATGAGGCGTTTTTCACATAGTTTTGGCATTTGAACACATAATTAGAAAGCCCTTTGAACGGCGATTCTGAATCATCTATTTTTGTTTTTCCGACTTTCTAAGCACAAGAAAAAATGGGCAAACATTTGTGCAAGAACTTTTGCACCACCCGTTACAAGTAGGCATTAGCTCTATCGTAGTAAATTTCAGGATATTAAATTCGTTCTTTCTCCATATGTATATGTACTTAAATTTTTGAGCCTAGTTTTACGATGCAAAGAACAGCATTATTGAAATCTCACAGGGAAAATAGAAGATTGGATTTTAAGCGGCTTTATTGAAAACTAGTAAGAAAAAAGATAAGTTAAGAATACTGTTCGTGTTCTAAGTACGCAATCTATTCATCTGGTCATGTTTAGGACAGATTGTCCCCCCATGTTTTTACTATAAAGTGGCGATAAGCGTCAGTTTCTATCACTTTTCTATTGTGAATTATTCGAAAAAAATAACCGAGTACATTCTATTTTGAATTGAGTACCAGTAATAATTATTAGTGTGTTGTATTTAGATTTTGTCCATTTTATAAATGTGTAGCCATGTTACGTAATATGATTGCATTCTACGATATGGCTCGACATGCTGTTGAAACAACAGCACAATCGGAAAAAAAGATAACATGGGCGGATATTCGTAATCATATGAACGACACTATTTACCAATTGAGTAGTATGAAATTTGCAGTATGTATTTTATAAGCGAGATATATAAAAATACTTGACGCACATTTCTTGCTCTATTTTAGGATCCAACAAAAGATAGTGAAGACAAAATTAAACGTGATTTAGACGAACTACATGAGAAAATGGCAAACTCATTTCGAGACTTAGAAGAAGCTTAATATTCTCTTGCTGTCCTCTTATTTGTCATACATTCCAACTTTCATTTTCTGTGACATAAGCGGTTTTCCTCTAAACTTATGTGTTCCGTAATTTATTTTTATTTATTTATGCATTCTTACTGTGTATCATATGTAGTTTAAGAACAAAACGTTTTTTTATTTTTTATTTTTGTGTCATCTCGTGATTTGCATTTTTCTTCTTTCATTTTTACTGTTGTTCTTCCGATAATGTTTGTGCAATATTCTTTACTTTCTTTTTATTTGTACAAGGAGCGAGAGAAAGAGAGAGTGAGTGGGATGGCCTTTAGACGGAGGGTGTTGTTCTTATAATTGTTATATTGGTTCATAAGCCTATCCCTCAGGAAGATGCTTTTTTCTGTTCACTCTATTGAATAATCCATGACTAAATTTAAATTATTTATTGTTCTTCTTTAGGGGGAGAAATACTATTCAATCTAACAAAATATTTTGCAATTGTACTTGACTGACTTTGTAAAGTCGAAAAATATTTGCAGTTTAGCTTATAGACAAGTCAAATATGCGAGAATTATAAAGTAACATACAAATCGATACGATTATTTTAAATTTCACTCTGAAAACATCTGCTAACATTTGTGAACTATGAGTACCCAAAGTAGTACATATATGTGTATAAATTTAAAAGTCTTATTTTAAAAATTAAAGAGGATGAGTGAATTATATTAAACTTCATTTTCTGAAAGTAGGCACCGTGTGTCAGTCAAGTATGTGCATATATCAATATCGAAGTTTTGTAGATAAAAAACGTTATATCTAGATCCCGTTAGATCCAGATCAGATCTGACGTATGACTGGGATCTAGCTTGATTGAACCTGGACTTAACTTAAATATGTGACCTGACATGGACCAATCAAAACCTAATTTATATAATTTTTTCTTTGTTAAAATCGGCACTTTGACCAAAAAGACTCATTTAAAATTATTTACATCAAGTTTAAAAATTCAGTTCATACCTCAAGTTCAAATCCAAGTCAATAGTTTAGTTCCGATAGATACATGACTGAATTAAGATCTATCTGAAACTTGGTCGTCTTTGAGAGTTGTAACGAATCGCTTCGAAATTAGAATCTCTTAGGTCTTACGACATGTTTACACCGGCCAGGTCATAGATTCGAGCACAGGTCTATCGTTTCTGGTCATATCTGAGGAGATATTCCAATAACATATGGAAAAATAACAAAAATCCTAGACACAATCAATGATGAAACAAATGATGTTTTAATGGATTGAATTGATCTATACAAAATAATGATCACTATCATGAGTGTTTCCCCACTCGCTTGTGATCATTACTAGTTATATCTTATTCTAAATAAAAACAGTTTAAACCAAATATAAACTGTTGTATGTTGATGAAAAGCAGTATTACTAAGCTTAAGCGTCGATCTTCCCAAATGTTCAGACAACAATTTTGAATTAAAACAGCGCTTGTGGTACCCCTTAGAAAAACAGAGACATTTTTTTTTCTCATATTTTTATGAAACAACATAAACTACATACAGTATGTTGATAAAATTTAAAAAATACTTTTTTATCTAAGATATATAATTTTTTCTTTATTTTGGAAAAATAAAGTTTTCAAAAATCAAATTTTCTAAACTGATTACGGCTTAAGATAGCTTATTTCGGCGACTTAGATCAAAAACAGCAGGCAAAGTGAAATATTACCGAAAATCTGCTGAAAATTCTTTAAATATGAATTAATAAAAAAAACGTAATTTTTTCTCATTTAAAGTTTCATCGTTCGATAGAGCATAAAAACTTGCCTATATGATACCAATTCCTTATTGTTTCAAGCTTTTGTTAGATATTAGTGGAAAAAATAGACAAAACAAAAAGTCAGAACTTTCTTGATTTTAGGATCCGTTTCGAAATTTTTAAAATACCTAATGGGCTTTTTTCAGTAAAATGCGTTTTTTTCTATGAAAACTCCCGTTTTTTTTAAATTTACAGGCGATATTCATGATCTACATATTTGAAAAAATCTGAGAAATTATTTGAAAGAATTGCGCGTCAGTCTGAAGAAATTTATTTATAGAGCGTAGAAAGTGTATGAACACCGGCAACTATACGGTGATTATTTCCATTCTCTTTCGTTTTGTTGCCGAATACAGCGGTTGTTGTTTTTTGAACAAATCTCTTTTGTTATATTTGCTTGTAATCATCGAGTTTTCTACCGTAGTATTTTTTCAAAAACGGGTAAGGGAAGATTAACTCACAAATGTCTATTTGAATCGTTTCATCTGATTATATCTTAAATTGCATGAATTTAGAAGGTGCTGAGAATCTACTCAATAGGAATTGCTCATTCAAAATTTTAATTTTTAGTTACCAGCATTTTTTAGCTATGGAGTTTAATTCTTCGTTGGTCGTACTCGAATTGATCAAAATACGCTCTAAAAGATCAATAGAAATTGTGTTTTTCATTTGTCCCCAATAGACAACTCAAAAAGATCTGTTCTGCCCTATGAAATTTCTCGAATTGTGTTTAATTTCTAGTGTGACATGTAGGTTATTCAATTCTACCAGAAACACATGTATAAAAATATTGTGCTTTATCGATCGTTGACAATAAAAGCCTTTTAGAAAAAGGCTTATGCTCTGTCTTCAGCACCTGTTCTTCAGGTCAGGACAAGATCGACTTGCATATCTCTGACCGTGACCGAATTACACTCCGATAGCAGAGTTGCCGATGCTCAGGTTGCTGAGATGATAGATGAATATCAAGAGCATAGTCCTAGAAGATGATCAAAATATACCTTTTTCCTTTTTCTTCTGACCTACTTGTCTGATCAATTCAATTGAACGGTGTAATGATAATGATATAGAATATTCAATTTAGTATCGTAGCCAACGGAGGTACACTCGTGGACTTGAGTACTCTGCAACATTTTGCCTGGATTCTTCCAGCAAGATTCGAAAATTTTTGACTACGCCTCCAGTACATTTTATGTCATTATCTTATAAATTGCCTCGGTATATGATAACATTTGGTATAAAAATGTTTTTTCCTCTATAGAGAATTATGTGTCGAATGTTCGCTAGAAAATGAAATTATAAACAAGTTGTTAAATACAATTCATACTATAATGTTGTTTTTATTATTATTATATATCTAGTTGTCTAAATAATGATTAAACGGTTGTAATATCATATTGTTTACCACGACAAATAAATGTGACTAAAAATCGTATTAAACTATTAATAATAACCTTGGTTTAATCGCAGGTTTTTTTAACGTACATACACAAAATATTGAAATGTGATCATTTAATATTGAGATTTGATCGAAATAACAAACTCTTTTCTGTCTCTCCATTTCTCGTTACAAATGACATCAATCTGGAAGAACAGTATTTATGTATAGGCTACGAATTTCTTGCAATCGAGATTATAATAAATACTTTTCCTTTGGTTTGTGTTTTAATAATCTTTGAAAATTATATCTACTTTTTAATTCTCTCTCCTACTCTCTCTAAATACACCTTAACATTTCTACATTTGAACATAAATAGCTTAGACGTGAAAAAAATAAATCCAAACGAGATTATTATTTTAATAATGATATTGATATTATTAATTGAGGGGAATAGTGTGTAAAATATTTTATCAAAAGATAAATAGTGATAATTGACTACACTATAACAACAACAACAATAATAATAACAAAGAAAAAAAAAATAACATAGACATGCCTATTCTAAATAGAACAAGAGAATATAAGAGAATTAGACTATTGATATTATTTGCATGTTTAAAGGTGATTTCTCTTTTATTAAATAATATTCATTTTCTTTTCTTTTTTTTTTCCACTATCAAATACTGAAACATCTGATTTCAAAGAAAGAAACCACAAAGACATAAACTTTCACTTATAAATGTCAAACACTTGTTGGGACCATTAATTGTTGATTGTTCAACAGTACATGAGAAGATAGCATCATCTTGTATTAACATTATCTTTTTACGTGTGTACTGATAAAAATTATTTCAAATGGTAAGATATATTTCAGATCAGATCTTTATGATTACTAACTGATATAGATTTAAGTAAGAAATATCGCACTGCGACAAAATGCATGTTCAAGTTTTCACTTAAAACACTAATCGAGCTTTCGACCTTTACTCAAGGGTCATCATCAGGAGTGAATGACAAAAAGAAAAAAGAAAAACTGTACATATCAACAAAAATTGATGACCCTTGGATAACTCCTGATGGTGATCTTTGAATAAAGGTCAAAAGCTCGAGTAGTGTTTTAAGTGAAAATTTGAACATGCTTTTTGTCGCAGTGCTATATTTCTTACTTAAACCTATTTTCTTCACTACACCACCTCCAAATTTTGTTACTAACTGATATAATTTGAGTAGCCTATAGCAGAAACACTTTTACATTTTGTCGAAATGATTTAATCAAATCGACTTTTCTTCTTTAGAGCATATAATTCATTTTCGTTCTGAATCCATTTGTATGTGTCAACATTCAAAAACTAAATTTAAAAAGGGAAAATGATATATTTTTATCTAATACATGTTTCATCTTTGAGTGTATCAGATTTTTTCACTCACTTCTAACAATTTTCTCCCTCAGAACATAGCAAGATATTCTCGATATCTATTTTTGAAGTTCTCTTTATCGAAGAATAATAACAAAAACAAAAGAAATCTTTGAAAAAATGCTCTTATTCAGTTAATGAAGAAGAGAGACTGAAAGTTAGAATGTTATATTACTTTTCTTGTATATTTTATATTTTGTATGGTATATTATTTTAGTATGTGTTATTTACATATATCCTGCATCAAATTATTTTGACAAACGGTACGTACGAAACAGTGATGCTCAGAAGTTGATTCGCAAATCGCGACAGACGACATTATTGATACAGTTTAGTCTGTATCCAACTTTTAATGTTACGGCGTAATCAATTTTTATATGTTGATAAGAGTAGTGTAAAAGAGTTG